TGAGACTGTGTTTCAAAAGAATCAAAACAGCTAGATGGGGTAGTTCATGCCTATAATCCCAGCTCTTGGGAGGCTGGTACAGAAGAATTGCTACAAATTTGAGATCAACCTGGGCTACATAGTAAATTATAGGCCTTGATGGTGAAGGGAGGCCACTTGTTCATCCCAGCTGCCCAGAACCAAAATAACCACACAGAAACTGTATTATTTAAATCACTGCTTGGCCCATTAGCTCTAGCTTCTTATTGGCTAACTCTTACATCATAATTTATCCCATTTCTAGTAATCTGTGTATCTCCACGAGGCTGTGGCTTACTGGGTAAAGTTCCCAGCATCTGTCTCCGGTGGCTCCATCACTTCTCTCTGACTCCGCCTTCCTTCTCCCATGCTATAGGCCAAGACAGTTTTCTTTATTAATTAATCAATAAAACCAACACGTAGACAAAAGGACCTCCCACACCACCTTGATAATAAAGTCTCAGATAGATAGATAGATAGATAGATAGATAGATAGATAGATCACACATAATGTGCACAAAGGCTTTCTGTATTATGACATAAACTCAAGTCTGGAGCTGGGGATGGAGCTCAGTGGTGAAGCATTTGTTTGGCATGTTTATGACTCAGTTTGATCCCCACAAATAAAGAAGTCATTTATTTCTCCTCTGAATTACATCCATTCAGTGTAACTGCAGTTGTGTTTATTAGAGAAAAGGGACAGAACTAGACTCTCATACTCACCAATCCTTGCCCCCTCTGGTCTTTGTTCTGATCCAGGGTTCCTGGGCAGCCCCTCCTCAGAAGGGACGGCTGCTATATGCCCCCCTGTTGCTGGTGGAGGATGCCACAGTGGGCGAGGGGTACCTCAACAAATTCAGTGGGCCACTGCGTACCTTCACCTGTCTGCAAGTGCCTGGAGCACATTCAGATCCCAGCCACCCTAAGAGAGGCAGTGCCGACAGTTTGGTGGAGGCTGTGAGTCCCGATGGTTATGGGGGAAGAGGTTGGAGTAGAAGGGTAGAGGTGAGAGCTGGGGAAAGGCAACAAGGAGTGGCCAGATTCTGTGCCAAGCATGTTAAAGCCCCTCTTCTCAGCACACTGTACTTGACCCTGTTCCCCTGAACGCTTCCATTAGCACATCACTTCACAGTGACCACTCTGTTCATTGTGCCATTGGTCAACACTCTTCCTACTTAATCCCCTCCCCAGGTGCTCATCTCTGAAGGCCTAGGTCTCTTTGCCCAAGACCCACGATTTGTGGCCCTAGCCAAGCAGGAGATTGCAGACGCATGTCACCTAACACTGGATGAGATGGACAGTGCTGCCAGTGACCTGCTGGCACAGAGAACCGCCTCCCTTTATAGTGATGAAGAGTCTATTCTTTCCCGCTTTGATGAAGAGGACCTAGGAGATGAGATGGCCTGCGTTCATGCCCTCTAAAGTCTTACCCCTCATCCACTGCTCAATAAACCCCCTGCCCTTCCTTCGCCCAGAAGGAGGCAAGCATTGAGCACACACTGCTGGATTTTGGTGTCTTTGTTCTGGCAGTCTGGGGCAGCCCAGCCGTTTCCATCCATCCCTTATTGCATCCCTGAGCCACTGCCCACACATGAGTATTTCCAGAAACCAGGACAGCTAGGCCTGATTATTCAGCGTCGGGGAAGGAGGGAGGAGGAGGAGAAAGAGACAGAAGCCAAAAAAAAGCTGAAGACAGAGTGGAGGTGGAGGAGAAGGAGGGCACCGGGCAGATAGGGGGAGGGAAGAGAAGAGACACTGGGTATCCGGATAGTAGGAAAGGTCAGCCTGAAGAAGGACAGACTGTACAAGAGTCTTGACAGGGAGAAGGCCTAGAGCTTACAGTTAACCTGGTAACTTAAGCAGAAATGTCCTCATCAATAATTTTGGGGATGTTAAATTGGTATTGTAAGTGTCTCCCATTTCCCATCTTCTGCCTGAGAAAAAGAACAAAAGCCTAAATCCGTTAGTAGAAATTGTAGGTGACAGCAAACAGTGGTGCTTCTAGCTTCAGGGAACCAATGCTGAGCCCCCTTGATCTTCCTGAAACAGCTGAGAGTAACTCTCCTCCCACACAGATGCCTGAGCTCCTCTTTCTGCTTCTGGCTCTGCCTTTGGGGGTCTCATTCATTCAGGGAAAGCTTATCAGGCATTTGGTGTGTGCCAGGTGCCTAGCTGGTTTCCCTCAGGGCACACTAAGGTGGCTTAGACATATGACAAGGTTTATCAAAAGTGGGAGTCAGCTCCCCTCCAAAGGAAGTGCAGGTAGTGTAGTGAATGAGGTCAGATGCGACCGCCCTAAAATGGATCCCGCCCGACTCTTGAAGCAGGAGGGTTCTTATTTGTATCTTTTAGATCAACCAAGCCAGGAAATTTGGGAGGAGCCGCAATCAAAGACTGGATCTCTAAACACACAATTATACTTGCATTGAAACAAAGGTTTAAAGTAATTGGGTTGGTGTATGATAAAAGAGCAAGTTAGGCTGGGCAGTGGTGGCACACGAGGCGCACGCCTTTAATCCCAGCACTCGGGAGGCGGAGGCAGGTGGATCTCTATGAGCTTGAGGCCAGCCTGATCTACAGAGCTAGTTCCAGGACAGGCTCCAAAGCTACAGAGAAACCCTGTCTCGAAAGACCAGAAGGAAAAAAAATCAAGCAGTCTTGAATGCCAGGTTCTAAGATGTCTGCTTTTTATATCAAAAGCATGGGAACTATAGGAAAGAGTTGAGTAAGGTAGTGACATAGTTAACTGTGCATTTGAAATAGATGCTCTGGTGGTATGCTGCGAACAGGCTGGAGGGAAAAGAGTAGAGATGCTAAAATTGGCAGAAGCGATGGTTCCCCTAGCCAGGGAAGTTAACAAGGGGCTTGGTGAGAAGTCAGTGAATTCCAGGACTGTAAAGGAAGTAAAATGAACCATGTCTTGATCCCTGGACTAAGTGCATTATAGTTGACTATCTTTTTTAATATGTATGAAAAGCCTAAATATAATATTTTAAAACATTTTACATGTATAAGGTCAAACAGGAGTAAATATTAGAAAAGAGATTCAAGCAACTGAGAGCCAAAACTCAAACAACTAGGAAGTATCTATTACATACTTGTGCTTTTAGAAATAAATATAGGGGTCAGGCATGGTGGTGCAAGCCTTATTCCTAGCATTCAGGAGGCAGAGTTCAAGGTCAGCCTGGTCTACACAGTGAGTTCCAGAACAGCCGGGGCTATACAGAGAGACGCTGTCTCAAAAAAGTAAAATAAAACAAAATAAATATGAGGGCTAGGGAGATGACTCAGCAGGTAAAAGTGATCGGCATCAAGCCTGAAGACCTGAGTTGGATCCTCAGGACCCAAGAACTGACACTCACAAGGTGTCTGATGATCTCCCCTTGTGCATACACACATACATACAGTAAATAATTCAATGTAAAAAAAGTATAAAAGCCATAGCTAGCTTAGCTATGGTGACACGTGCCTTTAATACCAGCACTTGTGAGGTACAGGCAGGAGAATCTCTGAGTTCAAGGCCAGTCTGGTCTGATCTATAGATTGACAGCCAGGATTGTTATACAGAGAAACCTTGTCTAGAAAAAAAAACAAGAATAAAAAACAAAACAAACAAACAAACAAAAAAGTCAGAGTTAGCATGATAGTACATGCCTATAATTCCAGCATCTGGGAAGTAGAAGAAGGAGAATAAGAAATTTAATGGCTAGCTGTGCCGGGGTGGCGCATGACTTTAATCCCAGCACTCGGGAGGCAGAGGCAGGCAGATGTCTGTGAGTTCGAGACCAGCCTGGTCTACAGAGCTAGTTCCAGGACAGGCTCCAAAGCTACAGAGAAACCCTGTCTTGAAAAATCCAAAAAAAAAAGAAAGAAAGAAAGAAAATAAAAAGGAAAGAAAGAAAGAAAGAAATTTAACGTCATCCTCGAAGTTCAAGGCCAACCTGGACTATGTGAAATTCTACCTCAAAAATAAATAAATAAATAAATAAATAAATAAATAGATGGCATCCATCCAAATGTTTAGACTTTCAAAGATACAGAGAGGTATGGAACGGTGTTCTTTTCCGCTGCTGACAGTGTTATCCATTTTCTTTTATTACCTGTGTAAGCTGATGCACTCATAATTTAGCACTTAGTATCTTAGTGCTTTTTACACACATTTCTTAATGGGAGGTTGGCCATCTTAACCTCAACTATATTTTATCCCTCAGATTTTGTAACATGGCAATCATCACTGACCTTGATGGGCCTAGTTTTAGTATCACAAAAGAGGGTAGTCCATTAAGAGATGGAGGCCCCACACAGTGCCGAGAGAGAGACTACTCTGACAAGCTGTCCTTTCATCTCCAGGCCTGTACTCTAGTGCCCCCCTTCCTTCCCTCCATCTCTCTACCCATACTAAATCAATGCAGTTTTACAAGAAAGAGGGCTTACACACAATCAATGTATTAAAAGAGAGGCCAAGGAAAAAACAAAAGGTGAAGTTCAGAGTTAGAGTAGGCAATAATTTGACCAAGAAAAAGAAAAATTGAGGTGGTTAGAGATTGGGGATGTGCTTAAAAATGCAGATTTTCCAAAAGGAACCCTCTGGACCTTGAACTGTCTTTTAACCTGCAGAGACTCTGAGCATCGCTGATTATTAACTGTGTGACCTTGTGCAAGTCACAATCTCTCCGGAGACTCATTTTCCTCACCCGTAAAAACAGGACTAATAGTCACTGCTATATAGGGATTAAAGGAGTGAACACAGTGTAACAAACACGGCGCTCGGCTTGGCAAAATATTATGGAACTGAGTCGTCCTCCTATCCCCAGACCGCTACCTATGCTTTCTGAAAGGACCCTACACTTTAAGATTTACGGATTCCAGCCTCCAAGATGGAATGGCTGCAGGCGAGCTGGGGGGGGGGGGATGAGGGGGTACCGTGGTGCGCAGGCGCTTGCCCGAAAGAGAGACAGAGTGAGAGGGGCGGGGCTGCCGCCGACTGGGCTGTTCCGACGATCGCGCGCCGCCCCCGCCGCGCCCCGCGCCCGCCCTTGCTAGCAGGCACCTTCCGCCCCCTGCATTGCTGATGCTGCTTCTGGCAGACATGGACGTGGTGAATCAGGTATGCGCTTCAGCACCATGGATAGAGCCCAGCGCAGGCTGGAGCCCTGGTGGCTATGGCCCTTCCAACCCTAAGAGGTGTTGGCCAGGGTAGCGGGATGCGGTCACTGGGGACTAGGATGGAATTGGGGGGTCTGCAGCAGGCTAGGGGAGGGAGGGAGGTGGAGAAAAGGAGTGCGCTTTTTTGCCGCATCGAGGACTATCCTCACTGCCGCAGAGGGGGCCGCCAGAGCCCCATAAGAACTGTCGGTGGGGAGAAAGAGGGGAGCCCGGGTCTAGGAAGAGGGCAAAGGGGTAGGGAGGGGGAAATGAAAATAAGACTTGGGGGGCTGCAGATGAGCTAGGAAATAGAGCGACAGAAGGTGTGGGGGCGGGGTGGGGAAGGGCTGGCATCCGCCCCTCCCAGAGATTTCACCCCGTAGATGACCACCCTTCTGTCCCCCAGCAGATCTAGGGGGACGAACCGATTTTGCCTCTCCAAAGCCCCCAGGCTCCTCATTCCCAGCGCATATCCAGTGAATCCATGCCCCAGCTCTCCCCCACCTTAATCATTCCAGACCATCTCCGCCATCTCCTTCTTCTTCATCGCCTCAGAACTGGCTTCCTCCCTAACCAGTAGCGACCCCTCCCCACCCGCATCGCCTCAGACACAAGCACCATCCTCTGACTCACGTTTACCACTGCAGACCCCTCCCCTATGCTGTTGTGACTCACCTTCATCCCTCGGCGCCCCCTCCCCCACTCGAATGAACCCCATCTTCTTCCACTCAACCTTTTCCCCTTTTCCCTTTCTGAGTCACCTTTAAGCAGCTCAGACTCGCCTTCCCTAACTAGTCTGGACCCCATCTATTTTCTACCCCCGACCTCTGCCGTGTGACTCATCAGCTCACACTTCACCACCCCTGAACCCTGGGGTTTTTTTTCTGAGACCCTGGTGTTTACTCCTTCCCCAAAGTGTCATTTTCTCCTCCTCACTCCCTCTCCATATGTCACCTACTTCTAGGGGTCACATGCCCTATCTCCAGGGATCAATGCTTGGCAGCCTGGCCCCTCACCTCTGTATTCCCCACCACCTCCCTCCCCCACTGTTTTTCTCCTCAGCTGGTGGCTGGGGGTCAATTCCGGGTGGTCAAGGAGCCCCTTGGCTTCGTGAAGGTGCTGCAGTGGGTAAGTGTGGTCTGGGTTGTGGGGTGGGTGGAGTGCAAGGAGAAAGGGTGGTAATGGGGTCCTGAAGAGCAGGGGTGCTGGAGGATCAGGGAGCCAGACAAGAACTGGAGTGGAAGAAGATGAGGGAATTGAACTCTAGAGTAAGGTACCAGGGGTTTAAGGGACAGGGAACAGATAGGCTATGATGTCACATAAGGCCGAGGGTACCCCTGTTGTGGAGTGACAGATTGTGACGTCCTACCTCCTCTCTTGAACTAAAGGAGGGAGGGATGGGAGGTGGAGCCTGAAGCCGACTGCTGAGAGAGAGAGAGAGAGAGAGAGAGAGAGAGAGAGATGCAAAATCAGAAAAATCCAGAGACAGTGAAGGAGACAGAGAATGAGAGGCAGGGAATGGTAGAGACAGTGATGTAAATGCCAAGAAAAAAAGAGATGAGAGCCAGAGAACTGGACATGAGGCAGAAAAATGTGGTAGGGGAAAGAAAGGCACATACAGATAGATGGACACCCAAAAGAGAAAACAGAGAGCAACATACAGAAATGGGCACAAGGGAGACGGGGAACCATAGAGACTTTGTGGCAGGCAGAGCAGAACAGACAGGCAGACCAAGAAACAAGTGTGTAGAGACATACAGTCATACACAATGAAGAGAGAGAGAGAGAGAGAGAGAGAGAGAGAGAGAGAGAGAGAGGATGGGGAAGAATATGCATAGAAACACAGATATTGAGAGAAAGAGATGCAAAAGACAAAGATGCAATGAGTGACAGAAGAGAAGAGAAAAGGAAAGGGGAGAAGGGACAGGGGGAAGGGAAGGAAGGGGAGGGGGAGAAGCCAGAGCACCCAGAGGTAAAAGCAGTGACACAAGGAGAGAGAAACAGTCACACCCTTGTAATCAGCTTGTGCTAGGACCCGGTGAACCCTGATTAGGGGGGTAGGGGTGGGGACCTCTCCATCTGCTGCTGCCTCTGCTGCCCCCCTCAATCTGTCCAGAGGAGGGCACTCCCTCCCACATGCATACAGGCTCACTACAGCCATCCCCTTCCCTGCTACCCAAGGTCTTTGCCATCTTCGCCTTTGCTACATGTGGCAGCTACAACGGAGAGCTTTGGCTGAGCGTGGAGTGTGCCAACAAGACGGAGAGTGCCCTCAACATCGAAGTTGAATTTGAGTACCCCTTCAGGTGTGCCCCTGCCCTGGTATCCTGAGACCTGGGAGAGGCAGGGCCGGGGTGAGGGTGGGTCTGAACAATCCTTCCCCATGACCTTTGCACAGCACACACAGGTCACGGCCACTGGGATCACTGCCCGTGTGCTGAACACCTACTGTGTAACTGGCACTGCCCCTGATCTCTAGGACAATGTGATGTGCAAGACAGACACAGGGTGTCACCCTCTCTAGCTATATTCTGGGGGGGGGGAATACAAGACAGGAAATAAGTACGATTCATAAGCAAATGGCAAAGTTGGGGCTGTAGTGCAGTGGTAGGGAGCTTGCACAGCCTTGGCACGGCACTGGGATACAGAGAGAAAGAGAGCTACATGTGTATAAACACATATGTGTACACTTGAATGCGGTAAATGCTCAATTAATGTTCATTGCTGGGTGTGGTGGCAAATGCTTGTAATCCCAGCACCTAGGAGGCTACGCCAGAAAGATTGTGGTGAGTTCCGGGCTACCCTCAGATCCAAAGTGAGGTCTTGTCTCAAAATAAGGGGAGTGCAATGGCTCAGCAGGTAGAGGCCCTTGCCACTAAGCCTGACAACTTGACTTTGATCGCTAAGTCACATGTGGTAGAAAGAAAGAATAGACTCCCTGCAAATCATTCTCTGACCTCCACACATGAGCTGTGACAAACATACACTTACATACATGTGGGCATGTACACGCTAAATACAATTTTTAAAAGACATATTTTAAAATAAGGCTAGTTAACATTATTTACTTCTCAACGTGCTGGAGTTTAACCGGGACTAAAGCAGATCAAATTCCCAGTCCTCGTGACTCTCCATTAGAACAAACAAAAGGGGATAACTATTGATGCAGATAAATACTAGAGGCATATTTTCATGCAGGGGTTTGGCTAGAAAATAATGGGGATGCTGTATAGATATGGAAAATCATGGGACCAAATTAGAGGTTCCCGATGTTTACTGAGGCCCGAACATGTGGCAGGCATTGTGCTAGGTGTCAGGTGTACATGTGTACGGACAAGCTGGAGGAACTGCTACATCTTAAGGATGGGGACACAGACCCACAGTTTCGCTTGACTTTCCTTGATGACTGAAGCAAATCATGTCACAGTTTGAGTCTCAAGTTCCTTGTTTGTAAACAGAGATAATAATATTGATGCTCCACAAGGGGATGGGACATCTTCACTAATTCAATACTTGTAAAGCACTCAGTGCAGTGTCTGAGACCAAGAAGTGCTCTGCATGTGCTTGTTAAGTGTAAGAAATCAGATTTAGGAACTTGGCGAAGAATTGGGAGTTGGGCAACACCAAGGGTAAATGGAGGCCTAAAAGATCACACAGTTGGGAGAGGGAAGCCAGCTCGGGTCCTGACCAGTGATAGAAACAGGAGATGGCAGCAGAGCATGACCGAGAGAGACAGAGAGCAGTCAGAGCTATTCAGATTCACGTAAGCCACGGAGAAAAGAGTTTGGGGACTGAGGGTGTAGCTCAATAGCAAAGCACTTGTCTAGCATGCCTTGGGTCCCATCTCAAGTACCTTGGAGAAGGGGGAAGCACACACATGATGTTTGGGGGGTGGGGGTGAGGGGTAGTTGGCAGCATAAGAACCAGCCTTTTGGGAATTCCCTAAAGGCCACAGAAGCCCTCTATGAATCCCCCACCCCCACCCCAGCATCTTCCATGCTTGGGATCTCTGCTATAGGAGACACCAGTTCTATTTGTTCAGTCCTAGGAGCCAGTCTCCAACCTGAGGCCAGAGCTGTGGGCTCCCAGGCCAGTTCTATTCTGCCCACACATGAGGCTTTCCCCATCACAGCACAGGGAAGGCCTTTGACTCAGAACACCTTCCCAGTCTGCCCTTCACACAGCCTGTTCCAATATCCCTCTACTCTTCGGTCTTTTCCTATTTCACAGCTGTTGGGCATCTCTGCCACGCATACATTTTTTTTTTATCTCAGGGACCTAAAAAGAGTCTCTAAAAAGAGAAAAGCGTCAACATGATTTAGGAGGAGATGGGATTCATACAGCAGCTCTGTCCTTCCTCTACTAGCTGAGTGACTATACAATCAAATGCACTTCTCTAAGCCTGTTCCCATCTCTGTGCTTCACCCTAAAAACACTGCTCAAGAACCTAATTGGTGCCATCTCTGTTCCAGACCCTTGGGATCTGTCAATAAATGAAAAAGGAATAAGCCCGGCCCCCTCATAGTTACAGGGGAAAAAAATCAAGGGAAAATAGTAAATCCCAAGCTGGGGAGCTAGCTCTGTCAGTAGAGTGCTTGTCTTACAGGTGTGAGGACTTGAGCTTGACCCCCAGAACCCACATTAAACAAACCCAGCATAATGGCTTGTGTCAGAATCCCTGGCACACCGTGGACAGCCAACTTAGGGTAATTGGTGAGTTCCAAGACAGAAAGAGACCCTGTTTCAAAAAGAGGGGTGATGGTACCTGAGGAACAACACGTGAGGTTAAAATTTGTCTGTCACAAATCTGTGCAATTGCATACACACCAACAAATGTGCACCTGCACACACACGCACATCCAAACACAAACACACACATGCATAAGGTCCTATGTTCAATCATCAGCACCAAAAAGGTTTTAAAAGTGTGATGGGGGAAGTCTTTAATGAGAAGGTGATTCTTAAGCAAAGTCTGAAGGAGCTGGAAGAATAAGACATGAGGCCAGGCCTTGGTGGCACACACCTTTAATCTGAGCACTAGGGAGGCAGAGGCACGTAAATCCCTGTGAGTTCAAGGCCAGCCTGGTCTACAAGAGCTAGTTCCAGGACAGCTAGGACTGTTACACAGGGAAATCCTGTCTCGAAAAACAAACATACAAACAAAAAAAGAATAAGACATGAAGCTATGTTAAGGAAGGGCATGCTTACATGCTCTTCCAAAGGGCTGAGAAACAACAAGGGGAGAGCATGCCTGTTAAAGAGAGCACGTAGCCAATGCAAAGACCCTAGAGTAAAAAGATATGATACCTGGTATGTTCTAGGACAAACTCAGAAGCAGAAGTGCCTGGGTTGCAGTGGGGGAGGGATACCACATATCTTACCAGGATGCTTTCAGCAACTAATGGTACATTGTCAATGCTCAGTACATGGTCATTTCCTCCTCTTCCTGGGACCTCGAAACAATCTGGGAGACCCATGGTTGGGAAGGTGAGAAAGGGATTCTTAGAGTCTCGGCCCCATCTACACACCTCTCTCTTCAGGCTGCACCAGGTGTACTTTGATGCACCCACCTGCAAAGGAGGCACCACCAAGGTCTTCCTAGTTGGAGACTACTCCTCGTCAGCTGAATTCTTTGTCACCGTGGCTGTGTTTGCCTTCCTCTATTCCATGGGGGCCCTGGCTACCTACATCTTCCTGCAGAACAAGTACCGAGAAAACAACAAAGGACCCATGATGGTGAGTCCCCACAGCTGATGGCATGCATTGACCAAGGACATGAGGCTGCATGAGGCTCACAAGCCAAACCGACTCCAAGACAGGCCCATTGCCAAGCAGCCCAACACTGCTGTTGTCTCCATGACTCGACAGTGGGCATCTGGTTTGTGAAGCCATAAAGTCATAGAGAAATACACACAGCCCACACGGAATGCCAGGCCGGCCCACAACCTGACCCTACTATCTTTCACACAGTCACAGAGACTAGATCAAAGGAAGTTCACTGTGACAGAAATACATGTCACCCTGCCACACAGACACTGATTCCTACACAGAGATATTCTCACACCCTCATCCCAGACATAAAATGACACATATTCCCACATGCAAATAAAAGCGGTAAGACACACTTCTCAGAGATTCAGAAGCATCCCACAGACTTAGTTCCTCCCTCAACATCCGCACCCACACAGCACACTCCCACAGTTTCTGTATCATACACACTCACAGGAACTCAAGCTGAACACACTGGGAGCTTCTGGGCTGCAAAGGCAGAAGAGAGGCAGGCCTCTTCTAGAGGACCCCTCCCACAAAAGCGTGTCACCTCAAAAGGGCTGGGGGCTCAACTTGAAGCAGTCCATTCACAGTGACATCTTCCTCACCCCTGCCTAGGACTTTCTGGCCACGGCCGTGTTTGCCTTCATGTGGCTAGTTAGCTCATCTGCTTGGGCCAAAGGCCTGTCCGATGTGAAGATGGCCACGGACCCAGAGGACATTATCAAGGGGATGGCTGTGTGCCGCCAGGCAGGGAACACGTGCAAGGACCAGAGGGACCCTGTGACTTCAGGACTCAACACCTCAGTGGTAAGCCCTGGGAAGCTGGCTGGGTGGGAAGAGAAAAGCTGAAGGACACAGTCTGGGATGGACAGTGGTGGAGACCGAAGATGAGAGGAGAGTCAGGAGATCCATGGGGGCTCCCAGGAGGAGGCATGCCAACAAAAACAGGCTGAACAATGATAATCATTAGGATAGCACACGCTGTCTGTCCCCCATTGGGGGGGGGGGAATGAGGCCCTTCAGATTAGGCCGGGACACCTGGACCCAGCCCAGTATGGTTAAATCTCCTGAAACTCAGTATCCTCCCAGGACTTGTTTCGGAAACTGCAAAAGAAAAAACGGTCTTGAAATGGTTCCCGTCTTGGACGCCCCCTACTGGCTAGAATCAGTCTGAACATAAATCCTGTCACTTGCAAGCTCTGTGACCTACAGCTAGCGACAAACCTTTGGGGGATCATTTTGAGCATGTAATTGAAGGCTAATAATGATAGGTCCTGCTCCAAAGCTGAGTTCTCACTGAATTCACAAGACACAAAGTGCTTAGGAAACAACCTGACACAATATCGCATCCTATATCACTATTGCAGATGCTAAAATTTGAACCATTCTTTCCTGCCTCTTGTTGTGTTATCTTGGGTAACTTAGTCTCTGAGGACTTGACTTTAAAATAAACATAACAAGGCTGGAGAGGAGGCTCAGTGGTTAAGATCACCGGCTGCTCTTCCAGAGGACGCAGATTCGAGCCACATGGCAGCTCACGCCTGTCTGTAACTCCCGTTCCAGGGGATCCGACACCCTCACGCAGACATACATGCAGGCAAAACACCAATACACATAATTTTTTTAAAATTTAATTAATTAAAATAAATAAATAAAGTGGACATATCAAGGGTTGAAGAGATGGCTCAGTGATAAAGAGTACTTGCTGCTCAGCTGGGCAGCAGTGGTGCACGCCTTTAATCCCAGCACTCGGGAGGCAGAGGCAGGCGGATCTCTGTGAGTTCGAGGCCAGCCTGGTCTACATACAGATCGCGTTCCAGGACAGCCAAGGCTACACAGGGAAACCCTGTCTCAGGGGAGGGTTGCAGGAGGATGAGGAACACTCGCTGCTTTTGCAGAGCACCGAGATTCAATTCCTAGCACCCACACTTTGGCTCTGACCCCTCCATAATCCTAGTTCCAAGGAACTTGTACCCTCTCTGATCTTCTCAAGGGCCAGGCATGCAGGTGGTATGCATGCTTATGTGTGGCCAAAACGCTATATCCCTAAATGAAATTTGAAATCTGGGGCAGGAAGACTGGTGAAAGTTTGAGACTCTGGGTTATATAATGAGTTCCAGGATAGCCTAGGATGCAGAGTAAGATCTTGTCTCAAAAAAAAAAAAGAAAAGAAAAGAAACTAAAAATACTAAAAATAAAATGGGATATCCACTGGGTGTAGTGATGCATGTGTGTAGTCTCAGCTACCAGACAAGTAGAGACAGAAGATCAAGCACTTGAGCTCAGGAGTTCTGGGCCAACCTGGGCAACATTTCAAGGCTATTTCAGAAAAAGAATAAAATAAAATGTAGGTTTTACTTCCTGTCCAAACATGGAACTTTAAGTGAACTAATATTGTTTAAGGTACTCAGAAGAGGGTTTGACATATAGTAAATGGCATATAGCATTTTGTTTTTTAAAGTATTTTATGTGTTTGATATATATATTTTTTTTAATGTTTGTTTATTTATTTATTTATTATGTATACAATATTCTGTTTTGAGTGTATGCCTGCAGGCCAGAAGAGGGCACCAGATCTCATTACAGATGGTTGTGAGCCACCATGTGGTTGCTGGGAATTGAACTCAGGACCTTTGGAAGAGCAGGCAGTGCTCTTAACCTCTGAGCCAACTCTCCAGCCCCCTGTGTTTGATATATTTATTTATAATTTTAAATTGTTTTTCTTTAAGAGCATATACTTTGCTAGGCATGGTAGCATATATCTTTAGTCTCAGCATTTGGGAGCAGAGGCATATGGATCTCTGTGAGCTTGAGGCCAACCTGGTCTACATAATGAGTTCCAGGTCAGCTAGAACTACACAGAGAAACCCTGTCTAAAAACAACCAAAACAAAACAAAAAAAACATTTATTTAGAGTCAGAAATGTTAATACATACCTGTAAACTGAGCACTTAAAACACTAATTTTTTAAAAAGATTTATTTTTTTCGTATGAGTATTTTGCTTACACGTGTGTATGTGTACCACTTTTATTCTTGGTGCCTGTGGAGGTTAAAAAGAGGGTGTCAGAAGCCAGACATAATGGTGCAGGTCTTTACTCCCAGCACTCAGGAGGCAGAGGCAAGTAGATCTCTGTGAGTTCGAGGCCAGCCTGGTCTACAGAGGGAGTTCAGATAGCCAGGGCTACACAGAGAAGCCTTGACTCGAAAAAGCTTAAAAAAGAAGAGAGTGCAGATACCCTAAAACTGGAGTTATGCGTGTTTGTGAGCCATCATGTGGGTGCTGGAAATTGAACTGAGCCTAAATCCTCTTAACACTGAGCTATTATTCCACCCCCAGGGCTAATTTAAAGCCAGACTAGCCTACATAGTGAGCTCCAAGCCATCCTGGGGTAAATGGACAAGTTCCTATATTAAAAACAAAAATCAAATGAGCACACCATGTCTCTTGCACTTTCAAACACAGACACACACACACAAACACTATAAATAAATGAATTTAATAAAAAGTAAAGCCACCAGGCAGTGGTGGCACATGCCTTTAATCTCAGCACTCGGGAGACAGAGGCAGGTGGATCTCTGTGAGCTCGAGGCCAGCCTGGTCTATTGAGTGAGTTCCAGGACACGCTCCAAAGCTACACAGAGAAACCCTGTCTTGATAAATAAATATGAGAGAGAGAGAGAGAGAGAGAGAGAGAGGAGAGAGAGAGGAATGAAACCAAGGATATTTGTTTAGTAAAAGGTGAAAGATTTATACGATCTGAAGAGAAACCAGAGTATAAGGATATTTGTTTAAAAAGTAAAAGAAAACAGGGGACTGGAGAGATGGCTCAGTGGTTAAGAACACTTACTGCTTTTCTTAAAAATAGCAGTTCAATTCCTATCGCTCGGGAGGCAGAGGCCAGCTCAGCCTGCATAGTGAGTTCCAGGACTGCCAGTAAAACCCTGTCTCAACAACCACAAGAAGCATTTGGGAGGCAGAGGCAGATATGAGTTCAAGGCCAGCCTAGTCTACATAACAAATTCCAGGACGGCCAGAACTACATAGAGAGAACCTGTCTCAGAAAAAAAAATTATATATATATATATATATATATATATATATATATATATATAAAATATGAGGAAGAGGAGGGCTGCTTGTTCGGCCCGGCTGCCCAGAACCAAAATAATCACACAGAAACTGTATTAATTAAAACACTTCTTGGCCCATTAGCTCTAGCTTTTTATTGTCTAACTTTTTTTTTTTGATTTTTCGAGACAGGGTTTCTCCGTAGCTTTTGGTTCCTGTCCTAGAACTAGCTCTTATAGACCAGGCTGGCCTCGAACTCACAGAGATCCTCCTGCCTCTGCCTCCCAAGTCCTGGGATTAAAGGCCTGTGCCACCACCGCCCGGCTTATTGGCTAACTCTTAACACTAATTTAACCCATTTCTATTGATCTGTGTATCACCATGTGACAGTGGCTTACCAGCAAAGATTTGGCATATTTGACTCTGGAGGCTCCATGGTGTCTCCCTGACTCTACCTTCTTTCTCCCAGAATTCATTCTAGTTTTCCCCTCCTACCTAAGTTCTGCCCTATCAACAGGTTGAGGCAGTTTCTTTATTCACTAATGGTAATCACACCACATAGAGGGGACTCCCGCATCATATTTTATACATGTACATTTCTATGTTTTATACATAAGCATCTGTGCTAATTTGTACATACATGTGTTTACAAACATCAATTAGTGTTTATTTAAAATGTATACTTATATATTTTGCAAATTTAAGTTTATTATATTTTGTATATGTATAAACATGTATACTTAATAAGTGTGTACCTAAATACATTTTTTAAATTATGTTTTTCTTCTTTTGAGGCAGGGTCTGTCTACATGGCCCTGGTTGTCCTGGAACTCACTGTGTAGACCAGACTGGCTTCAAGCTCACAGAGATCCATCTGCCTCTGCCTCCTCAGTACTGGGATTAAGTCTTGCACCACCCCTGCCCTAAAAATTAGTTGTTTGAGGCTCTCATGTAGCCCAGGAAGGCCTCAAACTATGTAAGGAGCTAAAGCTAGCCTTGAATTGATTATCCCGTCTCCAGCTCCCTAGAATTACAGTTGTGGGCCACCAGGCCCAATAAATACTTGTACATCTAAATTCTAACTAATGTCCCAGTCCCAAATTTTTCTGTACACTGATAGTCACAGAGACTCAGGAATTTAAGCCCTCAAAATGCCCATTCCTGTTCGCTCAGCCTTAAAATCCCCGGGGCTGCCAAGGTAATGAATGGGTGAGGGACAACAGCTTGGCCTTGTCTCCCTGCAGGTGTTTGGCTTCCTGAACCTGGTCCTCTGGGTTGGCAACCTATGGTTCGTGTTCAAAGAGACAGGCTGGGCCGCCCCATTCATGCGCGCACCTCCAGGCGCTCCGGAAAAGCAGCCAGCCCCTGGGGATGCCTATGGCGATGCCGGCTACGGACAGGGCCCCGGAGGATATGGGCCCCACGACTCCTACGGGCCTCAGGGTGGTTACCAACCCGACTACGGGCAGCCAGCGGGTGGCGGTGGCGGTGGCTACGGGCCTCAGGGCGACTATGGGCAACAAGGCTATGGCCCACAGGGAGCGCCCACCTCCTTCTCCAATCAGATGTAATCTGGTGAGTGATGGATGGACGGATGCGGCAGGAAGGGACAAGAAATGAAACTTGAAGGAACCAATAGACAGGCAAAACTACAAAAAAAGGGGGAGGGGGAACGAACGCGGAAAATCTAGCCAATGGGCAGAGAGCAAGAGAAGGAAGGGGCAGGAGCAGCGTTCAGAGTAACCAATGAATGGAGTGTAGGAGCACTTGCGCAGTGGAGAGTCAAGGAAGTAGTGCAGTTTCCAGGTAGGGAAGGGGAGGTGGGTCTTCGAAATGATTGATAAACTAATAGAAGATAAAGCGGATAGATGGAGGAAGGTAAGCACGGTGGGGTTTGAGGGTTACCAGCACACGAGCAGGATGTAGATCTGCTGCTCCCTCTCCTTAACTCTTGTAGTGAAAGAAACGCTGTGGAATTTCAAATGAAGAAAAAGGGAAGAGCAGGGGCCTTGGAAACATACATATGCCTTCTTGTTGGGCCATAAAAGAAATGAATGCCTGGCGTGATGGAGCACATATACAATCCCCGCACTTGAGAGGCTGAGGCACGGGGATTGCAAGTTCTTGAGTCCTGTTTGGTCTCTATAACCAGATCCTGTCTCAGAGAGAAAGGTGACATCACCTAGATGGGAATAGATTTGCTAGTGGGTGAGCCAGGTTGGAGAGTCTTCTAAAGCAGCTCACATTTAATCAAAAAGTCCTTGGCCGGGTGTGGTGGGCCCAGTGCCTTTAATCCCAGTACTGGAGAGACAGAGAGAGGCGGGGCTCTGTAAATTCAAGACCAACCTGATTTACAAGGCAACAACTTCCAGGTCACTCAGGACCAGACTTTCCATTTTTCACATTCATCTTCCCTCTTCGCAAGAGCCTAGTCTATCTCATTTACAACCTGTTCCACCCGCAGCGTCCGTGAGGATTCGGCTAGGCCACTGTCCTCCTAAATTCAGAAATCGCTGTCCTGTTTTCAGAAGCCGGTTGTAACATCTCACTAAAAGGCAACCATTTTCCAGAGTGGTCACAAGACCCACACATGCTGCACAGATGGCTTTGTCTTTTCTGTATGGTCTATGTTATTTTTGAGACCAGGTCTCCTGGAGCTCATGCTGGCCTGGAGCTCATTGTGTTAGCTAAGGATGACCTTGAATTCCTGATTGTGCCTCCACCTCCCTGTTTTGCTAGGGTCCCACTAATGTAGCCCAGGCTGGCCTCAAACTTGTTTTCCTCATGCCTCTGCCTCCTGAATTCTGGGGTCACAGGCATATACCTCCAACTCCATAATCAGTGATTATTTGTCTAAAACAAATCCTCCTATTATCTCTCATCACACCCTGTGTTTTTCCATATCACAATTTTATTTTTTTAAAAAAAATATTTATTTACTTATTATGTATACAATACTCTGTCTGCAGGCCAGAAGAGAGCACCAGACCTCTTTACAGATGGTTGTGAGCCACCATGTGGTTGCTGGGATTTGAACTCAGGATCTTTGGAAGAACAAGCAATGCTCTTAACCACTGAGCCATCTCTCCAGCCCCCATATTGCAATTTTAATTGCTAATTTATGGTTCATGACTGTATTCCACTAGATTGGAGGTATAATCAAGGCTCATTCATGCTATACACACATCACTTAGAGCACTTCTTAAAAATGATTTTATTTTTGTTTGATTATGTATATGTGTGTGAGTATGTGCGTGTGAGTTCAAGGAGCCCAGGAGAAAGGTCAGATTCCTTGGAGCTGAAGTTACAGATGGTTGTGACCCATCCAATGTGTGTGCTGGGAGTCAAATGTGGGTCCTCTGAAAGAGCGGCAAGCTCTCTTAGCTTCTGAGCCATCTCTACAGCCTCACTTAGAGAATTTTTTGTTCTTGGGTGACAGGTCAGTACATAGCATTGGCTATCTTGGGACTTACTCTGTAGACCAGGCTAGCCTTGAGCTCACAATGATCCACCTGCCTCTGTCTTCTGAGTGCTGAGATTAAAGGTGTGCGCCACCATGCCTGGCCTCTTATTTTATATTAGGTGATTCCCTAATACGTCCTGTTCATCTTGTGAGGCTTGTCTCCCCTAATAATGATGTAAGCCTCACCAAGATAGGGTTACTTACTTTGATTTTCAACAGTGACTACAATAGTGCTGAAAAATGGGCTTTTTTGATTAGGAGAGAGGACCTCAACTGTTCCTTTGGTGCCCAGTTTGAGCAAGGTTGGTAATATCTTTGTCGTGAGAACAGCTAGAATGAGGCTGATTCCAGAGCTGTTAGAGAAGAAAACATGCCAGGCAGAAGAAAAAGTGTTGTGGCCCAATCCCTCCCTGGGGATGTCACCCTCACGTGTAGGGCACCACCCTCATCTGGACTTCTCCTTTCTGTGGCTTTTGTCTCTACAGGTCAGTGAAGCCCACGAAGACCCCATGGGTGGGCAAGAGCTCAAGAGAAGACCTGCCCCCCTTCCTATTCCCATACCCTAGGTCTCCACCCCTCAACCCAGGAGACCCTAACTGTCTTTGCTGTTTATATATATATATTATATTATATATAAATATCTATTTATCTGTCTGAGCCCTACCCTCACCCACTTCTCCATGCACTAGGGGCCCAGTCCTGAATGGGCTCCTCCCTTATCCTGACCTTGCATTCCTCAGCCCCTCTCTGTTCCCTAGCCCTGTCCCTTGAGGTAAGAGGACTCTAGAAAGGGGACAGGAAGGGGACCAGACCTTGGCTGCATGGGGAGGGTCAATGTGACTTTTCCTTTACTTGTCTCCCTCTGCTCCTCTTGACTCTCTAGCCTTGGTTCCTCCAGCATTGCCTGAACAGAAGCTTGAATGGAAATCCAACCCCAAGAGTAGGACAGCAGATTGGGTGGGGATACAGGATATGGGTGAACCAGGTGGAGAGATGGGAGGAGCTCTGGAGAGTCAGCAGAGAGCTGGGTTCCAGACATACTAGACACTAGACATGGAGCCTTTTAGGGAAATGGTGTCCTACAGCATTCTGGAATGGGGTTAGAAGGGACCCAAGGGAGCGGTTTTAGGAGGGGCGTGGCTTTAACATCCAGTGGGCTCCAGAACGAGCCAGCTTGGGTTGGAACCAGCATCTCTAGGAGTGTATATTGAAACATGCAGGAGTCTGTGTTTGATTCAAAAGAGCTTGAGCAAGGCTAGAACTGGGGTTCAGGAGTGATGTAGGCTTGAGAGGAGGTCCTGTCAGGGTTATGAAGGGTATGAGGAGTGTGTGATGGTCTCGAAGGGAAGCCCTTCCTGTCGTGGGGCAGCAAAGAAAATATGTTTTCAACGGAGTAGGGTTCAAGCAGTGGGGGTGGGGGGCCATAGTTAGGAGCCATGAGACGAGTTTTGTTAAACGCAGGAGAGAGAACACACCTGGCACCCTGGGAATTGAGGTAACCTGGGAAGAGCCAAGTTATCGTGGTTTGGAGGGTGAAGGGTGGGATCTAGAGAGAAATGTCCCTTGCTCACCTCCTCAAGAGACAGCTAGATAATCAGAGGACAGAGTCTACAGGTCTGTGGGGCTGACCCACCCTCTTCCCCTTTCTCTACCCTCTCCCTCCACACTCCCCTCTGCCCCGGAATACTTGGAGGCTGGGTCTGGAGCCCCCATCCTGTACCCTCTGCTGTGTCTGTGATGTTGGTAGTGCCTGTGATCGTGTGTTGCCATTTTGTCTGACTGTGGCCCTTTCCTCTTCCCTCCAGACCCCCCACTTTCCTGTGCCCTTCGGTATTGTTTGAAGACACCCTCCCCGAGGAAAAACAAATATGAGAAATTCCCTTCTCCCAAATAAACTCCTCAACCACCCAGTTCATCTGGCTCTGATTTCTCAGTGCGTCGTTTCCTTTGGGTGCAGACAAAGGAAGAGGAGCAAGAGGAGAGGAAATCAGAGGAAGCTCAGCCCCCAGTAGCATCCTGCTGAAGCCTTGCCTACAAAGTATTCCGAGTCTCTGAGTTAGCACTGCTTGCTATACCATTGCTGGCCATCTAATCTAGGGTGTGGTCCTCATGCTGATCCCTTAGCCACCCTTCCTGGTCCCAGTGAAGTCTTGTCCTCAAATTCTCAAGGCCTCCGTAACTAGGGAGACTCCACAAGACTTCATCCTACCCAAGCTCTTGTTTGTGAACACTTCAGGTCCCGTGGTAGCTATCTTCTTTCTCTTGCCTCAGCCTAAGGAGGGGAACCAAAGACCTACCAGGTGGGGAGGCTGATTAACTGATGAAGATCCTCCCCTCCCAACCCCAGTTTCTCCCGGACAAGGGTCAGGAAGTGACAGGGTTGTGTGTAATGGGGTTTGGGGAGAGTGGAAGGGAGAGTTCCTGGGCGCCCAAGATGAAAGGCCTGTCTGACCCGTTGGTGCCTCACGCCTAATTAAAGACTTCACTGGGGCGCCTGAGTTCTGAGTTGTGGCTGCCAGTACTTGACCCCTTCCTAGCCCCAAGGCCCAGAGATGCCAAGAGCAGGAAAGAGAGACCCAGCTCTGGAAGTGAGCTCAGGAAAGGCAAGATCTACCTGGCTACAGAAAAATAAGGGAGCGAGAAGGAAAGCTCTAAGACCTACTTGTTTGGGCTGGGATCGGTAGGCACAGTGGCTGGAGTGGATACCTTGGAAGGATGTGGAACAGGCCTCGGAACCTGGCCAGTGATTTCACTCTCTTCCACATAAATCTCAGGTCTGTCTCTGAAAATGGAGTAAGTCCAGCAGGACCACGAGCGCCACAGAGCACCAGTTAGGACTGAAGATGAGGTTGGGACCATTCTTGTAACATCCATCCTGAAAAAAGGACTCTGGGAAGGGACCAAGAGGTGGCTTTGACCCTGTCCCCCAAAGCTTCCAATGATACTATTCATCCATGCAAACACTCCAGTGTACCACTGTAATCATGTCGCTACGTCCAACAGCTTTCAAACTCTAAAGACTGTGACACCGAGGGACACTGGAGGGTCAGCCTCCTGACAGACACCCTGCTCTGGCTCTAGCCCTGGGATGAACTCCAATGGTAGGCTTTCCAGCAAGGCACTCACTCACCTTTCGACTGGGGACAGCGCAGCAGTGCCTTAGCTACTACAGGCCAGGGGGGCGGGCCCTACTTGGCGTGCTCCTCCCACCCGGGAGTCAAGTTTACGGAACAGAGCTGCCTGGCCGGACGCGCCTGTGGCCTGGCGGCCTGGAGGACTCCATTCGCCTGACCCGGCTGGGCTTGACTCTGTCTAGGCACGCCATGTTCGCCCGTGGGTCCCGGAGGCGCCGCTCCGGGCGTGCGGTGAGCAGGGCTCAAGGGCAGTGGTGGGGGTCAGAGGAAAACTGAGGCCTGGGAGAGGGGGCAAGGCACTGGGACAGAGGGGAGGCGCCCCAGGGACGGCCTGGAAATTCCCTTCCCCAGCTTTCCTAAGACTTGGGCGCTGGGACCAAAGCACACTCGAGGATGCAAAAACGTGTAGAAATGGTGGCTCAACTCTCTAACACGTCTCACACCCTTTATCACCCGCTGCAATCTGGGGACACCCCCTTTCCTGTGAATTAATCCTAAAGTTGAAAATAGGGTCTTGGGATTTGAAGTTGAGCAGGGACGTCCTGAGCTCTTGAGTAAAGGACCTCATACATTGGGGGACTGTAAAATGAGAAGCAGGGGATCCTTCACTCGCGAGTACCAAGACTCAGTGAACCAAGATTTGTATAATAAGATTTCCAGGCTTCCTTCGGTGTCTGGACGCTTTTGACTTCCTAGATAGGAGGATTTCCCCTCTTTTCTTTGGAAGATCTCTAACCAAGAAAGGTGGAGTCTGGACCAAAGAAGAGAATAGTCCTAAAGTATGAAGGGTAAAGGCAAAGATGTATTGGGATGGGACTTTCAGAATGGAACAGGGACGTACTGTGGTCCTAAAAGTAGTTAGTTACTCCTCAGTTCCTCAGGTAGGAGAGGTGAAACCAGGGTTTGGGGGAGGGGCAGCAGAACTCCTTAGGGAAGAGCATTGTCCAGAGTTCCTGGGGATCTCCGGGAAGGGTGGGTTCGCAGCCGCCTACTCTGTGGAACTGGTTGTTGAAGGGATCAGAATAAGACTTGAGAGGAAATACCAAGATTAGGGACCCTCCTCTGGTAAGGAGAGGACACTCTGACGGACCTGTCTGAGAACTAGAGAGAGACAGACCAGCCCAGACTGGAGAATTCCCTGAAGGAACATACAGGAAAGTGGTCCCAGCTGCCCTGCCTCTGGTTTGGTTGTTTCCTCCTCCCCGGCGCTCCAGGCGCGGTCTCAGCCTGCCCAGCGCTGCCCCCAGTGAGACAGGCCCCAGCCTGCGGTTGCAATCCTGGGAGTGGAGGAACGGGCGTTGACGTCTCCCTCCCTACTCCCGCATCTTATTTCGCTTTGCATCTGCCCCCCACCCACTACAGCCTCCCGAGGCAGAGGACCCCGCTCATGGCCAGCCCTGCAATTCCTGCAGGGAACAGTGCCCAGGCTTCCTGCTGCACGGCTGGAGGTAAGTGACCTCTAGCCTTTGTCAGAGCCCTGCCCCAAGGTTTGAGCTCCGCCCACAGAGCAGAGTTGGGAAAGAAACCTAAAAGTCCATTCCAGAGCCCCGCCCCCTGACTCATTCCCGAGAGACCTGTTCCCAGGAGGGTTTCACAGCCCTATTATCTCCCAAAATCATCTTCTCCAAGTCTGGATTCCATCTCTAGAGAGATCTAGCCCCTTCCACATACTCCCTCAGCTCCCTTCTTAGGTTCAGAACTTTTCTCCTAGGCCCAGTGTTCTCTCCTCCTGGAGCCTTACACCCAAAGTCTAGGAGCCCATAGTCCCACAGACTCACTGTTGTGTCCCCACTCCCTGTACACAAGTTCAGGGCCTCAACACAAGACCTGCCTCCAGGGGTCCCCCCGCACAGAGTGCAGAATCTTCCCCTAGGAAATTCTTTGATTTGTGGCACCAGTCTGAAACCCGGAGTCCCGCCCCTGTTGCCCAGAGACTCTGACCCACGCACCAGAGCTGGTTGGGTGATGTCCTTCAGACCCTGAAGCCCCACCCCTTAGTATCCTGCACCAGAATCACAGCCCAACCCCCAGTCCTCTAGGCCCCTGTGTTCCTGACCTGTCATCGTCCAGAGCCTGGCACAGCCAGTGTCCCATGGCCTGGTCACAAGCAAAGTCAGATCTTGGCTTTAGCCCCAACTCCTGTCAGCCCTGGCCCCAGGCACATAGCTCTGCCCCAACTCTGAACCCTCTAGTGTTAAGCTACATGCCTTGCCCTTCTTCTGCCGTGCCTGGGCTGCCTAGGGAGCAGGGTGGGCAACTCCTTAGTAACTGACTCCTATCCTGGCTCTCACAGGAAGATCTGCCAGCACTGCAAATGCCCACGGGAGGAGCATGCAGTGCACACTGTGCCTGTGGACCTAGAGCGCATCATGTGTCGGCTCATCTCGGACTTCCAACGCCACTCCATTTCTGATGACGACTCAGGCTGTGCCTCAGAGGAGTATGCCTGGGTACCCCCTGGCC